GTTTCTCTGGATGAGACCTTAATATTTTTTTATAGAACCTATTTTATTGTTTATATATTTGTACCAATATAATAAAATTTAAAACTATAATTTTTATCTCCGAACTGGTTTAGAGTTTTTATGAAATCATTTGTTGTCTCTGGCTTTGCTTGCTTAATTAATTTTATATTAATGATCGAATTAAAAGAAACATAAATCTAAGTACTATAATATTGAGAAAAAAAACATTTAAATATTGTATTTTGAAACATTTAAATCTTTGCACAAACGACCAGGCACATTATCAAGAGCGTTAAACTCGAGAAAATCGCTTCTGGTATCTTCAATTTAAAACAATAGACTTGTGGCGATTGAAATTTAAAGAAAAACAACTCCGACTCTCTTTGTTCCGTTTAGTTTTAACAATCTGGATAAGAGTTAAGTAATGGTTTGTATCGTGAGCTGATGTTTTAAATTGTTTCAAAAATCAATTATATTAATGTTTTAGGTTATCTACCATTGAAACATACGCTAGATTTCATTTGTACGTAACCATTTTATTTTTAAATGTCACTATACATATACATATATTGGAATATTTTGTCAGTTGATTCATTGTTACAATAAGTTTATTGTTTTTTTAGTTTGATTTTCTTTATATGATATAAATTCATTTTCTAAACCAATTTCATGATAAACCCCTTCTCTATTCTGATAACCGCTAATACATCCACCCTGACAAAATCACAATTATATAATACTTTTTCGGACATACAAAATTTTTCGGCAATGGATCTGCAATACTCTATATTATGTTGTAGATGTTCATGGGTGACGGTGACTACTTTCCCCTCAGGTAGGCTTCCGCTTGTTTGCACCTTTGGATTATAAAAAAAATCCTTTCGTCCTTATGATTTCCGAAGTATCATTTAATTTGATACATATATGTATGTACGTTTGTATAGATTAAAAAGGTCGGTGATTTAAAACTTATAATTTGTATTTATAAGTTTCAGGTTTTCCTCACGATGTTTTCCTTAGCCGTCTGTCAGTGGTGTCTAAATACTATAAATATAATTAACATTACATGCTATGAATTGTGATATAAATTTATTATAAATATATCTAATATTATGCTTTTTATTCTATATAAAACCGGAGTGTTCGAGAGTTTATCTTTTCAACTATTCAATGTGCTCAAAATATTTCTCACAATATCATCTTATTAACTTATTTCCGAAGATATTTTTTTTTTATCGTGATTAAACAAACCTGTCACTAAGAGAAGTTTGTTCTTATAATATTCAAGTAATAGCTGATGTATAACCGGATAAATTAAATCCCTAAATATAGCTTTGCTTTTACAAACTTTTGTAATAACCAGTCGAATTTCGTAAACGAGAAATTGTTCTAACAACAATAGCCTTGAAAAGAGCTGTACTTTAAGGCAGATTAAATTCATATATAGTCACAGACTACTTTTATTACCACACTCAAATAAACGCCTAACACTTATTGTTATATCAGTGTACACATATTTTTGCACATTTATGTTAAACCTTTCTAATTTTATTAAATATAAAGTCTATAAAACTGAGAATATGTAAATATTACTGCTGCTTAAAAGAAAATTTTTTTGGTAAAACCGCAAATTGTATTAGAAAAGTAAACAATTTTTTTTTTTTATTTCTAACAATTTGTAGTTTTAAAATGAATGTATAACTATCCCTATAATAATAACATTGAAATATATTAAATGTCGTTTTTCATAGAAGTTTATATTTATTCAGGTTTTTAAGACGATAATATACCAAATTCTATTGAGACTTAAATATCTAGATTCCTATTAACCACCTTTCTCAATTCGAGTGCTGTCCGAGAGAAAAAACGAAGCTTCTAAAAATTTTATCGTCATGTGATAGTACCGGGAGCACTCATGCATAGTGAGTAGGGTTCCCATTAAAACAAATTCTTTAAAAAGATGTTTGCCCTTTTTAGGGTATATTTTATAACGTATTTTTTATAAATATAATTCTAGACTAAATTGATTTTGAAATATTTTATATCTGAAGAAGGAATTTGACAAATTTTATCGGGATTTTGATATGATATCATTTTGAATCGAAAGACGAAACCTACACCGTCCAAGCTCCTCTCTCTACCTAACCAAAATTTGAAAGAACCTTCTAGAGCTGCCTTCTAGAGGATGTCCGAAGAATACACTGATGTGAGTTTCTGGACAGGCCCAAGTCTTTTCGTAGGTTGTAGAGAGATTCAGCTGTTATACCCTTCCTTCCACTTCTACCGAGTACAAATCCACGACGAACCTATTTCAAGTGAGTTCGTTTATGAGTTCTTAATATGTATTGATCTTGATGGCATGGTCTTTGGGGATGTCGGTTTCCCAAGGAACCGTAAGATCTATTATCACAAAGCGTAAAATGTAAAATTCGCGAATACATAAATATGTCTGGTCTGGAGACCAACGCATACAGGTCCTCGAGGCTTTTGTATTGTTTTTCATACGTATCAATAATTATAGTCCAATCCGAAGCCGCTTTAAGGATGGAGTTAGGCTAAACGTTTTGATTTTATAGCCCAAGTGCCTTCTCTCACAAAACCTACTGATAACTCGTTTGTGATTATTTCCCTTTGCGATCTGGCTAACTAACTGCCTCTCCTCAGATATAATAAGTTTTGGGCGGTACCTTTACTCCATCTTACTAAATTACTCTGACTTGGGAGTGTCATTTGGACCGCATTGAGATAAAATTTTAGCAATGCTGGCTACCAATCATGAATTAAAGGTAACCATTTTATTGCTAAATTGATGTAAAAATCTCTTATGTCTAAACACTCGTTCTGCATCTCTAAACTCATTATGTGGATCTTATATATACTCGTATATCATTGCCAAATAAACTCCAATATATCTGTATCTTGGGCCATCTTACTTGATATTAACCCTATTATGTTACTTTGTTAGGTTTACAGTGATAAATTTGTTTTGAAACAAATCTCAATACATACATTTCAACCCATAAATAAGAATTATCAAAAATTTTATATATATAAGTCGTCAAAAACTTTATTAAAGAACAATGATATTTTGTTACTATTGAATATAAATGATTAAAGGGGAAAATTTCTGTTTTTAAAGAGAAATATTTTTTTGGAGCCAGTTCCTACCATTTATTGTGACACTGTTTTTATTATACGTAACTTAAAACTGACTTTAAAAGAATTCCATATTAAGCAACTGTTTGTTTTAAAATATGTAATGAAATAAAATGTAGAGTATTGTGTTTCCATTTTACCTTATGGTACACGATAGTGTGTAGACACAATAGAAAGTATATATTTTAGGATGTGTTAAGAGACCGCGCTTCAAAATTTATAAGTTGATAGTATGTAAGTGTTTGTGTTAACATATTTTTCTGGTTTATTTATTTGTGTATTTCTTAAGATTTTAAATTACATCTTTCTTATTAGTAAGTTTATCAAAATTCAAAAACTTTTGGCATTGATTTCTGTATGAAAAAAAGGTATCGTGATACAATGTTTTCTTTATTAATAAACTTACAATTTTTTAAGTGAGAAATATTACTAAATTATCCTTAGATGTTTTACATTAAAGTCAGATCAGTTTTTTTAAAAGTAAAAAGAAATCTGATTTTAAAAAAAGTCCTATACTTAGGACTTTTTATAAGCCGATTTCTTTACGGATATAATATATCCGTGTCTTATAAAATTCATATTTCATGTCCAAGTTTCTCGCAGCCATTAAAACATTACTAGAGTTAGAAGTTCATTAAACTGTATTTACATTTAAGTACTGAGTAATGAACTAAATTATTAATAGGTTATTCCATTTCTTGCAAGTAACTTGATATAAACCGTTTTTATTTAATTGGATTCAAAGTTTTCTTGTTAGTTTTAAATAAAAGAGGTCAAGTTTACTCATTTTCGACAAAATGTTGAAATATTTTAACAAAACTTTGATAGATCTTTGTATATAAGATATAGGTATATATGTAGTATAAAAATAATAAATTCAATAATGTTATGACACCGTACTCCAAATAATTGTTTTAGAATATGATAATGTGTACAAAAACTGTCAATGTTAATAATTTTTTTTACTAGGTGTTCGGTCATTAAGTTAATCATTAATTTGAAACATAATAAAATCTTAATATTTTCATAAAACTAGGACGACAGACCTTAAGGTCGAACGAAGATTAGCTCTATGAAATATTATTATAAAAACCCCAGAGAGGTCATTAGTAATATTATGGACTTGGATTAATTAATTAAGATAAATAAGAGATATCTTCTTGTGCTGTTTAATATTTCAGGCAGGGTTATTCAAATATTATATCTTTGAAACTATTAATTATTTTACATTTGAGTCGTTGATATATTTTATATTTTTAAACATTTTATTCGAAAACAGATGCACTTTTGTAAATTTTCATTGAGATTAACCACAAAAATATATCTTATTAAAAAAAAGTGTTAATAACATTATAACATTTCGTTTATTCCATTGATTTCAATTGTAGATTATATTAAACTAACAATATAAGTTGGAAGTCTTTTCACTCTCCGTTAGTTTTTATATTAGAGTGATTGAGCTATCTTTAGAATCCATTTCCATTAGCACTTATCTCTAAATCTTTTTAGAATTGAATGCTTTAATGATATTAACCCGGCGCTGATATTAATGACGCTGGGTCATATTGACCCGAGACGTTTTTTAACGAACAGATATTTTTTTGTTGACCCGGGTTATGTGGTTTAAGAGTTTGAGTAGCTGAAGCGATACCTCCCCGCTTCCCGCCCCGATGGTTCGCTCAGGGTGACGCCGCTCGCGCAACGAGTAACACGTTCATCAAGTTCAATCGGGTAAGTTTTTGACCCAGCGTCATTGTAAATGTAATATTTTCGTGACATACTTTTTTTTCTATTTAGTGATTTTTATTTATTTTTTGTGTTCTTTAATAAGTTTTTGGAAGAAAATGGCACCGACGAATGATCCGCGGAGAATATTGGAAATATTGGAAGAGTCAGATGAAGACCAGTCAAATTCTGCTTCGGACGCCGACGTTGAAGACCATTTATCGGAACGAAGTAACGATAACGGCACCGAACAACAAGTTTGTTTTATTGATTCTGATACGGAATCTTATTCATCAAGCAATTTGGACCTTTTGACATTACAAAGTCAACAAAATCGGCATGTGTTCAAAGGAAGAGATGGAAATTTATATATGCCCTGATCATTTGATTACCTACTGCACTAATTGTAGTAGTTCGATGTCAGTAAAGGAGGAAAAAAGAAGACTGATTGGCATTTATAATTAAAAATAACTTAATATAATGTCATTTCTAGCATTATAAGATGTTTGTTACCAATGATTATTAACAATACGTAAACCAAAAAATTATAATTAAATTATGTTGTTTGTTTCAAAGTTGATTTTGCACGTCTTGCTGAGTATGTCAATAAAAGTTTAATTACTATATATATATATATTAGTTTTATTTTTATTTATTTTCATTCAGAAAATACTTTTCTTTAATGAACATTAATTACAATTTAGTAAAAGAATATATTTTTATTATAAATCCTCAATAAAACGTCGGGTCAAAATGACCCAACGTCATCGTTCTTGCAACTTTTTTCGCGTCATTGGTTAAACAAATCCAAAACGTTTTAAAATGAGAACATATTCAACTAGCCATGCGCTTGGAATAAATTAAGGATTTAATTTAAAAATTACAATAAAATATTCACATAATCCGGGATAAGGATAGTCCAACCCATTTTTTTTGGATAAAAAAAAAACATACCATCCAACACATGATCATTTTAACGCAAACATAAGGAACACATTATATGTCGTAGAAAAATATTAGCTAGTGAAGGATATTAGAAGCAAAAAATAATACTATGGTACATGAAGTATTGTTTTTTTTTTCATTAACGTATAAGAAAAAAAAGATTTTATTATTTCACAGATCTTTTGTACAAATACTTCTCTGTTCTCATTAAGAAAATGGGTAACATAAAAAAATTGGTATTTCCCTGTTAAGATTTAAACAACTGATTTAAAAAGCTACAAAAATGGCCAATCACCATTATGCTTTGTGCACTTAAGTTTTTATAGACATACTTCTTGCTTAATTAGAATAGATATGATTATTTTTTTCCATATATGATCCATTAATTTAGTAGATATCATAATGTGGATGAGAGAGGTCGATATTTCATCCAGTCGTAGTAGAATGAAGTGAAGTGATAACTACTTATTTCTAATATGAAAAAAACTATTTCATTACATTTAAGGTAGACATTTAAGATATTATTATGTATCACTTCGTTTCAATATCAACCTCAGTAACAAATCCAAATGGAAGGAGTGAATACTAACAAGATTCTAAAGAAAAGGAAGTTAAAAATAAGATTTCTAGTTCGTAGATTTTTCACGCTGGAGCCCTGTAATTAAAATCCGATTGTTTAAAGCTTATTGACAGAAGTACTTTATTGACATCTCACGGACTTTTCAGAAATAGTTACTTGCTAAATAAGATACAAAGAAGAAACAAAAAAAATAAATACATTAATAAGATGAAACTTCTCAGTATTCCAAAATCAATGTAAATAAGTACTTAGTAATATTTTTAAGGTACAACAGCCTAGACAGAAATATAGATTAAATAAAAGAATTTCTTTAAATTTCAAATTATGTATTGTATATTATATGTGTAGTGTCCATGTTATTAATTTATATAGTTATACTATGATATATTTATATATAAAAAACAGATCTTAATGAAAGCACCAACTACAAAATTTTCGAGACGATTAAAAGAAAGAAATTAAAAAATATTTATCATTCACTCATCTAAATACAAAGAAAAATAATATAAATTTGAAAACTTTATTCCATAATAAATTAAAACTTATGTAACATAAAATAATTATAATCTAAGATAGTGTAAACAATAACAAAATTATCAACGATGATTAAATAAGTCAAGATGAAAAAAATGATATCGTCGGTTATATAGTGCAAATTGAACTATCATTGGATAATTCCACGTATCTACATTGGAAGCAGATTATCAGAAGAAAGTTAAGGCTGAAATATTAACTAAATTAACGACTTTTAAGGTGATTTTTTCACAATTTAGAAATAATTACTAATCGTGAAATATTTTTTTTAAAATAATTTGGAAAATATTTAATTCGAAATTACCCAATGGTAGTTCCGCGGATTAGGGTGATTAGGGATAGTGCAATATGCCAAAACTTCGGCATATGAAGAATCGTTTCAATAATCCAAAGCACAGAATAAAGCGACGCAACGCTTTATCCTGTGAGAGTGTGGCTTATGAGTCGCCAGTTCAATAGTCATTACATAGTTGGTCGAGTGTCCAGTGGTCGAGAGTGTCCCGGCTCTAACGAGTGTCTTGTATGTCGGATATTCGTATAAACCTTGCGCCAGACGATGATTCTGTTCCGGTTTCATATATATGATTGCCAATTCTGGAATTGAATATTTTAAATATTTTAGTTTTTATCACCTCATTAACATGAACTACTGATAAAGTAGTGAAGTTTTGAAATTACCAAGCGGTATGTACCTAGTTCCTTTGGTCTGCTTTCTTCTAATGTCATATCACCAGTATTAAATCTAGCACCTTCTAAAAATAGGCCTCGGACACAGCAACCATCATCTGGTTTCTTCGCTGGCGGAGCGTTTAAGAACCTGGAAATATAACTTAGTTAATATAAAGTATGTGCAGATATTCCTTTCACATCTGTTCTTGTAACCATTGTTCTAAATTGTTCATTTAAATAAACGTCTATTTTAAATTTATTTTTTTTTTTTTAATAAAATAAAGATTACATTTCATAGACTGACCAGCTTCGCTGGTATGCTAAGGGTTTTGAGACCTGACGATATAATTACTTATAGAATTAATCGCGAGTCCTATACTCACTTTTCTATCTTATTTTCGACTACTAATCACTACTGATACTTAAACAACAAAATTTTTTCCAACCCGACACCAAAAAAAAATATACAAACTCGCAATGGAACTTCATGTTATTCAGTCAGAAACATGTGAAGTTGAGAAATACAAATACGAAGATCACCGTCCGTGAATTCGTATGGTATATTAAAACCACGAGGCCTAAACTTCTGTCTTTCTAGAACTACACCATGGAATAGGCATAGTGAAAATAGGAGCCACTGAAAATTACAAAAGTTTTGTTACTAATAATTCAACAGTCCTAAAACCCTGAAGAAATAAAATAAAATAGCTTCTTCATAAAGTCAACTGAGAAAATAACATGTCTTTGTTTCGAAGTCATATAACAAATTTTAATAAACAGATACATTTTATACTTGTTTTTCTTAATATTAAACTTGTGTATCGTATGGTTATAATTGACTTTATTGTACGAATAATATTTAAAATACCGTTCTGTAATAAATGCCACAGGAAAGAAGGGTGAAGGTGTTGATGTGAGTCACAGCCGAAAGTCCTTATGAAACTACTTCTGGGACTATTTGCTCCACATTTGACTCCAAGACTGGCATCCATGATGGAGACAAATGGCAAATTCTGAAATTTACATTTAAAAATATATATATCGTGAGGTCAGAAGTCACACTAAAAAGGTGTCTACACATATGTAGGTTTGAGTTAACATCTAACGCAATAAATTTCATTAAAATAGATTTTGCTGTCTACTGAATAAAAATACAGCCAATTAGCATAGACAAAGTTATTATAACATTTTTTATTAATATATGTACATAAAACGGATATATCCATACATATTTGGAATCTTTAAGAGTTAATCTTAAATTAATTTCTTTGAATTGTGATATAGCATTTTCTTAAAATTGTTTAAGATTCATTATGAAAAAACACTTAAGCCGTGCTATAAGGTATATTCGAATGATTTAAAAAAAGCATATACTTTACAATTGAAAGGAAATGTAAAACTTTACCTGAAAAAATACTCAGTTACCAAAATCACAGCATACTTTCATCATAGCTTCGGCTAGAGGTCCTTGACCTTGTCCTAATGAAATACTTTCAAATCTTTTGCCCATCTTCATTTTGTCGGCAAATTTCAACAGATCTGAAACATGTTACACTCAATTAGTCGATAAATAATCATGTAAACAAAATCAAACCACAGCGAACGATCCACTATGTAAAGAGAAATTAAAAATGTATAAGGACTTATAACAATTAAGTACTTTGTAAAAGTTATACATAGTTAGTTTTAATTTTGGCATAGAATTACTGGCATACTTTTAAGAAGAGTCAGACATACATAACTTACATATTTTTCAATATGTTATACAACATCCAACTAGGCTTATAAAAAGTAATATTTACCAGCAGCTGGATCAGTACCGGAGGAGAGAATGAAAATTATAGAAGCGAGTGGATCAGACTCAGCGTATAAAGCTGCAAGATCTGCTGGCTGTGGTTCAACGAAACGAGCCCCAAGACCTAATACTACTTAGTCCTGGACGAAGGAACAAAGATAATAAATTTCAGGTTTAAGTTATAGCTGTATGCTATATGTATAGTAAGTTACTAGTTGAACTTCATTACCACGATTATGAAAACAAATCAACATTATTTATAATAAAATATACCTGAAGACCAGGAATCAATTTGTCAGGTCGTAAGCAATTTAGAACAAGTAGCTTCTGAAAATGCATCTAGTTGAGAATCTAGTCCTTTTGGATACGGAAGTCTGGAACATCCAGATATATTCTATGTAAAAAAAACTTAATTATAATAAATTAATAAGATAAAAAAGACGATTTTACTTATGGAGAATTCCAGGCATCGTAATAAATCTTAAAGAATTTGGTTTGTTGAGGAAAAAAATCCATCACAAAATTGATGCATCGTTGGCAATGTCGCCAACTGTAGCAGATCCAACGACATCCGAGGAGATATCCACTTTGGTTCGGGGTTCTCAAGTTCCTTGTGTTGAACAAATATATCTTTAATGTAACAATATTATTTTGGATATAGCTAAAAATTCTGCCAAGTAAACTTTTTTTTCAGTGAACGTGTTTTTATATTAACTTTATTGAAAAGCACTTTAAAGACTGCTCTTATGTTCATAGTATTTATTTTGAATGCTAAATAGTATAAAAAAACTATACACATATAAAGATATAAACATACGTAATTCCTTATTTAAGATACCTCTTCAATTTTTCCTCTG